GCATGAAAGTTATTCTGCATCCTGGCAATATCATACCCTCACCCTACAGCATTCTCGTTCCGTTTCAACATATCTTCCGCCTGCATGCAACATGCCTCATGAAGCAAACGTCTCATATTGCAGGCTAGAGTAACGAACAACTGCAATATTCAAAGCACTCCGCCTCCGCCCTCACATGCAAGAAATCTTCCTAAATGTTGAGAATGGAGTAAAGCTCAGCAAATGATGCAATATAAATGCAAAATCAATCCTCTTGCACAACTTTCCGACAAGACACAGTGGAAGGTCGCGTGAGAAAGCTATTAGATCTTGTAAGATGTTCAAGTTCTTTCTGCGGAAAATCTGATGCTTGTTCTTCAGGCGGAAGTCTTATCCGCCAGGTGACATCAGGTCACGTGCTTTGCGCCCTTCGCCTCTCCTTTCTTCTTTATCGCTTTATGTCTATCTCCCCCTTCCTCCGCATCTCCCTCTACCACGCCTCTCTAACATGCGGCTCTTTTTTTTCACTACTCTCCTTCTTTCTACAGCCCATCTCTCTTTCTCGCTCTCACTCTCAATATATTTGTATATATACAGTGCACACACGCATATACGCGCACACGCGCAAAGCACACGCGCGCGCGCACACACACACACACACAACACACACAACACACACACACACACACACACACACACACACACACACACACACACACACACACACACACATATATATATATATATATATATATATATATATATATATACATATTAATGCACATGTATAGGCACTCATACCGGGCTCTCTTCGAACATTTCCTTCTCTCTCTCCCGTTTCCTCCCTCATTCTCACTCTGTTTACTTTCTCCCTCTCTCTCAGCTTTCTTCCGACCTAACCTAACTTTCCGAGCACTTGATATAAGGTATAAAATTACCCGATGTTCACTGCCTACTTCAGCATGAGGCAAAAAAAATCTCTTAAGATCTATCTTTTTGTACCCATCTGGAACCACCAAACTTTTCCTTCGCAGCTCTTGCACTTTGCAGACTTTCGCTGAGCTGGTAGCCTAAGTGGTGCTAGACAGCTGGTGCAAAGATGGTACTTGACAGGACGGTATAAGTTCGTCTCCATATATTTCAGACGTACACCTACCAGTAAAAATAAGCCAGGTGGGCACAGATGGTCGTTAAGTCAGGTCAATCACGAAGGTGGAACCAGCTGGGGCTTAAAGGGCATCAGGCGAGAAAATAGGCTCCTCAGTTGCCAGCTAGTGTTACTCCCGCTTTTTTTCCTCTTGCTGGTCCCTTGGTCTGGTCGCAGATGGCTCTCCTGCATGTGCGCTCGTAACTTTTAATGAACAACACCTACGGAAATCCCAGTCGGGTGTGTTCATCTTTATCAAATTTTGCTTTGTTTATTCAACGGTTAATATAATCATTCTCATCATCTCGATACTCTACTATCATATGAAGTGAAGAGTAATTTTAGCATACACTGAAGAGTATTTTACTTTAACAGGAATACTGTGTATTTGCATTTATCTATATTGCAAATGTATATATGTATGCGCGTATACATACATAAATGCACTGTACATGAACAGAAGCATACAAGCACGATTTTAACAAGTAAGGCTTTTCTCAAACAACAAAGAATCTTATATTCATTCTCATACTAACACACTCCTCCAAGTCTCTGTACGACCAATATGAAAAGGGAGGAAAAAAGAAAAAAAACATACAATAAATATTTTATTCATGCCTAGCTCACGGCCATAAAGCCCCCCCCCCTCCCATATATCAAAAATTAATGTTACATCCCCGACCGTAATCATAATCCGAACATGAGACATTCTCTTTACCGATGTCATTCAGTATATTTGGCATGTCTGACGCGCTGTTGGTTGCTGTCCAAGTCCGTCTTTTGGAAATTATGAGAAGAGGGGGGTGCGTCACGATGGGTATGAGGGATAGGGAAAGAAAGGAGAGAGAGAGAAGGGAGGGAGTGTGGGGAGAGATGGAGGATAGGAGGGGAAGAGAGGAGGGAAGGATGCATGGGAGGAAGGGGGAGGGGATGGGAAGAGAGAGGGAGAGGGAGAGGGAGAGGGAGAGAGGGAGGGAGGGAGAGGAGGGAGGGAGGGAGGGAGGGAGGGCGGAGAGAGGGAGGGAGGGAGGGAGGGGGGAGAGAGGGGAGAGAGAGAGAGAGAGAGAGAGAGAGAGAGAGAGAGAGAGAGAGAGAGAGAAGAGAGAGAAAGAGAGAGAAAGAGAGAGAAACTAGAAAGAGAGACAGATTCAGATAGACAATAGACAGACAAAAACAAATAATAAATAAAAAATAAATAAAAATGAAAAAAATCTGCGCACCCCTTCCCACCCCCTCCATCCTCCTCCTCCGTCCCTACGAGTTGGGGGCGTTGGCCTGCGCCCCCGAGTACGTGCTTCCGTCTCTGAACTCGTTGAACTTCTCGACGTACTGCTGCACCGTGTCCTGCGCCGCGTGGATGTCGTGGAAGCGGTTCTGGCGGAGGGGGAGAACGGGGGAAGTTAGTAAAGATAGATAAATGGGGTGAATAAGGATAACCGTGACATTAGTAAAGATAATTAGGGTGAGAAAAGACAACTGTGAAATTAGTATAGATAAATAGGGTGAGTAAACATAACCGTGACCTTAGTAAAGATCAATAAATAGGGTAAACATAACCGTGAGATTAGTTAGGATAGATAAATAGGGTGAATAAAAATAACCGTGTTATTAGTTAAGATAGATAATAGGGTGAATAGAGATAGCGACGATATTAATAAAAAAATATATATAATAGGGTGAGTAAAGATAACCGTGAAATTAGTAAAGATAGATAAATAGGGTGAATAATAATAACTGTAACATTAGTAAAGAGATAATGGGGTGAATAGAGATAACCGTCATATTAATAAAGATAGCTAACAGGGTGAATAAAGATAACTGTGAAATTAGTAAAGATAGATAGCAGGGTGAGTAAAGATAACCGTGTTATTACTAAAGATAGATAAATAGGGTGAATAAATATAGTAAATATAGATGATATGGTGAATACAGCCGTGATATTAGTAAAGGTAGACATAATATGGCGAATAAAGATAACCGTGAAATTAGTAAAGATAGATAATAGGGTGAACAAAGATAACCGCGATATTAATAAAGAGATAATATGGCGAATAAATATAACCGTGAAATTAGTAAAGATAGATAATTGGGGGAATAAAGATAACCGAGAGATATGGCCATCGCAGTCGTATATGACAGGGAAAATATAATTTACTATTGACCGCCACACCAGCAGAAAGTGTTCATCATGGTGATCATAATTAAGATGGTAATTATAACAAAATAACAACCAACGACAAATAAATCAATAAACAATAATACCAACAATAATAATGGAAAATAACAATAAATAGATTAAAACAACAGTAATATGGAGAAAACAATAAACACATCAACCAACACCAGACCACCCCCAAGGCCGCCCACCACGACCCAAACAACCAATGAAACAAAAAATAATAAAAAAAAATAATAATGATTATTAAACATATATATATATATATATATATATATATATATGACAGACAGACACCAACTAAACCCAGACCAACACCGCCACCACCAAAGCCCGCCCATTAACATAACGAACGAAAAATGGAACAGAAAAAATGAGAGACAGACAGACAGACAGACACCAAGACGCCCTACTGAACTGACCTACCTCCGCCAAACCTCGGCGACTTATCCAGACTTAAGGCGCTTTTTCTGTTGTCTGTTGTTATTTTTATCTCATTTTTAGGTCTTATTTTTTCATTTTATTATTATTATTGTTATTATTATTATCATTAGTGTGGACTCGCTAGCTTAAATTAGATGGTGTGTTTTGTGTGTTTTTTTGTTTTTATCCTTTGCGTTTCGCGTTTACCTTAAAGAAATAACAAATTAATAACAACAAAAGTAGTAATGATATGATGATGATGATGATGATGATGATAACGACAATGACAATACTCTACTACTGCTACTTCTACTAATAATAACAATAATGGCAACAATATAATAACAATAATAAAAACTATAGTGATAATAGTAATAGTAACAGTAACAATAATATCATAATAATAATAATATAATAATAATATAATAATAATAATAATAAATAACATAATATTAATAATACCAATAATATTAACAACAACAATAATAATAACAAAAACAATAATACAACCAAAAAAGAAGAAAAATGGACGTATATACGACTAGTACCCCTGTACTTATGCACGTACACAAGTATGCACGAGCAAAAAGCCGGATTTAAAGTCACGAAGGTATTACAAGCAGGCAGTACACACATGGCTTCCATACACTCACATAAACAATAGCGTTACCCTCCAAAACAACAAACAACGTAATAAGAGCAAACCGCAATAAATATAACGACAGAAATGCAGCAACCCCCCTTCCCAACCCCCTACCCGTGCACGTGCCACCCCTTACCCCACCCCTACCCGTGCCCACCCCTTACCCCCCACCCCCACCCGTGCACGCGCCACCCCTTACCCCCACCCCCCACCCTGCACGTGCCACCCCTTACCCCCCCCGCCCCTCATCCCCGCATCCTGTGTCTCGGCTTCGGCAGGAGGTTCAGCCGTCTTCCCTTGACGTCAATCTGCCTTTGCGGGAGGAGATCAGTGTGTTCTTACACCTCAATCAACCAGATACCGGGAGGACGGGGGATGGGGGTGGGGAGGGAGGTTGGGGGATGGGGGAGGGAGGGAGGTTGGGGACAGGGGTGGGGGGGGAGAGAGAGGAAGAAGGAGAAAGAGGAGGAATAGGTACGAGGAGGAGGAATGTGTAGAAGGAGGAGGAATGTGTAGGAGGAGGATAGGGGGGGGGGTAGGGGAAGGAGAGGAGGGAAGGGGAAGGGAGAGAGAGAGAGGGATGAGCAGAAGAAGAAAGAATTGGAGGGGAACCCAGCATGAGCAGAAAAGTGCAAGGAAGGGGAGGGTACAGAAAGGGAGAGGAGGAGGAAATGGAAAGAATGAGAATAAAGAGGAAGTATATTTCACAAAGCAACTGAAGAAACAAGAATGTCGAGAGAACGTAAAAAAATAAGAATATATATAAAAAGAGAAAAAAAACGGAAAAAGGAGATAATATAAGAAGAAAACGCACTAAGGGGGAAAGAATAACAGGTAAAGAGAATAATGGCGGTGAGGGGAGATAATTAGGAGACGGGGGGTGGGGAAGGGAGAAGGAAGGAAGAGGGGGAGAGGAAGGGGGTCGTGGCAAATGGCGGAGAAAATTAAGATTAAGGAGAAAATGAGAGCCAAAACAGAAAACCCCAGGACCAAAGGGGGGGGGGAGGCCGCCGTGATGATGGGGGGGGAGGAGGAATAAGAGGGGAGGGGGAGGGGAGGGGAGAGGAGGATCAGGAAGAAGAAGAAGAGGAGGAGGAGGAGGAATAAGAGGAAGAGGGGGAGGAGGAAGCAGAGGAAGAGGAATAAGAGGAGGAGGAGCAGGAAGAGGAAGGAAGGAGGAAGGAGGAGGAAGAGGAGGAGAGGAGGAGGCGGGAGGAACAGGGAGCGAAGGAGTGGCAGACAAAAAGAGAGGAAGCAAGGCAGGTACGGAGAAGAAGGATGGAAGGGCAAGGACGAAGGGGAGACTATATAAACTGGGTGGCTTTGGGAGGAGATTAGAGGAGAGGAGGGCCCGGGAGAGCGGGGTTTCTCTGCTGTTGTTTTTTTTCACTCTTTCAACTTTTTTCGCATTTTCTTTTATTTCTTTTATCCTTGGCTCATATTTCCTTTCATTTCACATACTTTTTTTCTCTTCTATTCTCTCTCCCGTCTCCCTCCTTATCTTTTCTCATTTTCCTATTTTCCTTCTCTTTCTTCTCCTCCTTCCCCCTCTTTCTCATCTCTCTCCCCTCCAGCCCCCATCCTTCTCCTCTCTTTCTCCACCTCTCTCTCTCTCTCTCCTCTCCTTCCCCTCTCTCCTCTCTCCTTCTCCTCCCCTCTCCCTCTCTCTCCCTTTCCCTCCCCTCTCCCTCACCTCCTCTAACCCCCCCACCCTCCCCCTACCCCCTCGCCCTCAGCGCATTAGAGCAGCAAGCACATGCACGAGAGCTTACGAACACAAAAGTTTTCCCTGAATTCCTGCAGAACAGACAGTAAAGGTGAGGATGTCTTTCGCCCGCCGGAGTGGACGCGGAGGATCGTGCCCTGGGATGCCCTGTGTCGAAAGGTCAAGGAATAATTTAATATAAAAAAGGACTAGCATCAGTGACCCGAAATAGGTGGGGGGGGCACTTTGACCTAATATAAGGGAGTAGTGTGGAGAATGTCATCGTTTTAACTTTTTTAACTCTGCTATTACAACAAATTTTCGACTAGAGTGGTCTCCCTTATCTCTTCTTGCACTCCTTCCACGTTTATCATGAATTTTCCTTCTTCCTTTGTCGCCTAGTTATCAATTTTATCTTTCTCATTTTCTTCCGCGCACGTGACCACTCCTACGCCGATTATCTACAAGAAAAGAAGGGAAAACAAGGGAAAGGAGAAGAAAAAGAAGAAACATCTCACCACTCTGCTTTCCTCGTGTATCTATTCTAAGCAGTAACAGCACCTCCCCCCCCCCACCACACACACTGTGAAAAAGTGTAAAGTGTATTTTCTGTGTGTGCGTGCGTATGTATGTACGTGTGTATGTCCATGTCCATGTGCGCGTGCGTGTGTGGTTGTTTACGCGCGTGCGTATGTGGGGGCGTGTTTATGTCCGTGTGTGTGTGTGGGCGTGTTTTTGTCCGTGTGTGTGTGTGGGCGTGTTTATGTCCGTGTGTGTGTGGGCGTGTTTCTGTCCGTGTGTGTGTGTGCGGGCGTGTTCTGTCGTGTGTGTGTGTGGGCGTGTTTCTGTCCGTGTGTGTGTGTGGGCGTGTTTCTGTCCGTGTGTGTGTGTGGGCGTGTTTATGTCCGTGTGTGTGTGTGAGCGTGTTCACGTGCGTGCGTGTGACCAGTGACCAGTGCGCAAAGGTGCCAAAATAGCGCCGCTAATCCCATTCAAGGCGACGACGCTCCCCGGGGCTTTATCACTCGCTATTTAAGATCGGGAGAAGGAAGTCGCCGAGGCCATAAGAGACCTTGCGGCTGCGGCGCCCACGGGAGTCGATATCGGCAACCTTGCGGGGGGGAGGGCGTGCGCGTTTACGAAGGCAGGGGGGGGGGGTATTTCTCTTTGTCTCTGTCTATCTATTATTACCCTTCTACTACCTACCTATCTGTCTGTCTACCAGTCAGTAACTCTCTCGCTAATGCACACACTCTGTTTAACCCTCAAACTCACTCACTCACTGGGAGAAACATCCACACACGCACCCTTCCCCTGTGGCCCTAATGAAACAAAGAACCAAACCCACGGTCCGACTCACCCTCTTTACCTCCCCGACCTTTCCTACAAGCTGTATCCCTACCCTACCTTACCCCAGTCTCTACTTC